GCTTTTGGGATCAAATGTTCTGGCTATTGTATTTTTTCTATAATCCGAGGAAAGTTTAAACATCAGTGGTGCAAACATAGGAGGCAAACGTAGTTGGCTACCTTATGTTCAATGCCCTTTCACGACCTGATAGTCGTAAACATCTCCTATAGCTATCCTCCATTTTTGACGCTCTTGCTTAAGGTAGTTTTCACTAGGGTAAGAAACAAAACTACAACCTGGTATTGAGATACTCCTCACAATTAGATGAACAATTCACGCTGAAAATACGAACTCCGTTGCCACACGTCGTCTGTGTTATGATTCTCTGTATTTGTCCAGAGCCTAACGGCCTTCCATTTTAACCCGTATCCAACACGGGTTTTGAATATACCAGATCGTTGGACCCATAAAATCCTTTTTAGATAATGGTACAGTACATTCAGACTTTTGAAAATGTCGCACATATTTTTTAATTCTAGTTCTCCTGAAAGGTAGGACAGGTTCACTATAAAAAGTCACCTAATACATGTATAATGTAACTAACTGCGTGGTTGTATTGGGCAGTCCAGTTGATTGTGTTTGATAGACAGTCGACTAGTTAAGGAATGCTCCTACAACTGATTGTATGGGAACCTTGATTTTTCTCGAGCTAGACACTTTACCAGGAAATATTAATGGATTCATTTTTGACCTGGCATATACATGTACGAGGTATGTTTGACTGCTGTGTGCGTTGTACTTGGCTCTGGTGCTTTAAAGTAAGTACGCACCAGCAAGCAGTTTGTAAAGCTTTGGCGACGGCATTCCTGACTGCCAGACTACTCATACGTGCTAAGCTAAAGACGAGATGCACTACAGCACTCGTCATCTCCAGGATGTGTTATCCAAGGTTAATTTGACGAGGCGTGACCATGACGTCTTGTTTGGAGAGATGTTCAGGTTATCAAGTGCTGTTGCAAGGCTGAGATAGTTTTTGGATCTGACTGTTCATGTCAAATTGTCTGCGAGCAATGTCATACCCAGAAAAGAGAGACTTTGATACGTCTCCCAATAAATAGTCACACGGTTTACTTGCCAAGTAGGCACATCCTTGATCCCAGGGGAAAATCGATTTCCCTCTGGGACCGATGATGGCATCGGCAGGGAATTCTCTGAATTTAATTATATTGCAGAGTGTGCTATGTTTGATGGTTATCACATGATATACTTCAGAGCTTGTTTTTGATATTTTTCTATGTTCTCCAAATTTGTTGCTTTCATCTTTTCTGCCTTCAATCCATACAGCATTATTGGTTTTCCACAGTTGCATCAGGACTTTGAGAAAACATGCAACTCTACTATATCCATATAGGCCTGCTCCCATGTGATATGTTGTCCTTGTGGCTTGTTGAATCCTTTCTTCCAATATTTTACCGGATTTTTATTAATTGATGATCGGTGGAATCCAAGGTGTTTGTATGTTGTCACTACCGCCGACTGTTAGTTGTTGAAACTCGGGATGGGTTGGTGATCTCCGATAGTCGAATATTAAGAATGTAAGAATGTTCAGTAATGGGTTGATATTCATACTCTCTGCCGAAATCCCTGTCGTTCTGGAAAGCGTTCAGAAAATGATCCATCCCATTGTTACTTTCATAAGGAGTATACCCGAGAAAGGATGTCGTACAGATTTCTCAGCATTGAGTAAAGTGCCTTTGGGGGTCCTTGGGAGCAGCATGAAGTGTACTGCCTGTTTCTGAACGTTCTGCTATGCATTCAGTAAGTAACCGAACTGCATTGTTCGGTGGCGTCCTCTTGGAAAAGCACTTTTGCAACTTGATGATGTGGTTTTCCATTATTTCAGTGTTTCTCTTCAGGTGAAAATTTTAAACAATTTGTCAGTGATGCTGAATATCGTAATCCTGTGATATGAGTTTGGGTCGTTTAGGGGCTTGCCTTGACCATTGGAGTAATCCTGATGTAACTGGCGACGTTGATAATAGCTGGCTTTTGATAACTACATTCTGTGTCCCGACGGTTAGAAACCGATTGATCCACTTGAACAGTTTTCCAATGATACCATATTGATGGAGTCTACCAAGGAGTCTTTTGTACGGGCGCTGTAAAAAGTTATTGACAGATCAACAAGGATTGGATCAACCTGTTCACCATTTCCAAGACTCTTAGAGATGTCGTCTATAGTCGGGAATAATTGCTTCTCTTCTTCCTGAAGTCATGCTGGTAGTCGGATATGATGTCATGACGTTTGAGATTGACCATAAGATTACTATGGATGTTTGCTTAACCAGTGTGCTGCAGATTGGATGTTTGCTCCGTCAGTGTGCTGCAGATTGGATGTTTGCTCCGTCAGTATGCTGCAGATTGGATGTTTGCTCCGTCAGTGTGCTGAAGACTGGCTTTGGTGACACTTTTCGATAGTTACATGCCTTGGTCTCGTCTCCTTTCTTGATTATAGGGGTGATGTTACTTTCTTCTATCAATTCAATTCATTGTCGATAGATGGTAGAAAATATATTTATTAGCTTATGGGCGATATGGTATGGACATCTAGTTTTAGATGTCAGGCTTAACTTCATCAGGACCCAACCCTTTACCCCTACGAGGTTAAGAAGCAACTGAAGTCGCTCATGCAGGGTTGATGGTGATGGCTGGGCATCAATGGTTCGCTCATCCGAAAGCCATCTTTCTGCAGTGTCTATTATCTCAATATTAGCATAATTCAAGCCTCGTATTACCAAATTTGATAAGTGCTATCACATGTGTGTGTCCCCGTCTCAGGGTGAGCAGATTGTTTCTATAGCTGTTGTGGGTTTTCAGCACGTTTTTTTTGGATTTTGAATTTGTACATCAACCCGAGTCCTTCCTGTCCCGGATGACATCGTTTTGATGAAGGCGTGATGTTTGCAGTGTGATACTCTCTTGATATAACGAGTAATCCATGGTTGACTGACTGTAGCCGAGGTGATCTGGGGCTGTACTACCTCCACGAGATGGTTACAGTATTGTTTGAGGGCATTACAGGTCTTGTCGACCTGTTTTTTGGCGAGTACCCTTTAATGAAGTTGATCAGCGTAGTCCTGGATAAGTTTTTCGTTAACTTTGGCCAATAGGTGGATTATGTCTTGCATAGGGCGCTGATCGAGGGTCTTGACATTCGACACAACACGGTGGTCGCATAATCCTGTTAGGGTTTACACAAGTGTATCTATGAAGGACAGTCTGTCAGAATTTGTCCAGGATGTTATTACCGTGAGTTGGGAAGTCAATAGGCTGCTCAGGCTGCACCCATTTGATGTGGCGATGAAAAGATCATTTAACTGTTTTGAGCAACCCACTAATAGGGGCTTAGACTTATGCAATACGGTGAAATTCCCCACCCCATACATACATTTACTGAGAATGAAGAAATGAGCACAACCATTACAAGGATTGGCCCCAGAATCTAAGCCCTCCCCTTAATTTGATCAGACTTTTTTTTCTCTTCCAATGTTTAATTCTTAAATCTTTGCAGTAGGTTCTCCATATTAACCACCAAAATACTGTTAACGTGCCAAGACCTGTGAACGTTTTTTTACAGTTGCCAAAATGTTTAAACAATTAATGAACTCCAGCCATTTTTCTGTTTCCACATCAAGCTACACTGGATTTCCTTTTTATTACACCTGCTTCCCAAGTTTTGGTCAGCAACTCTCAAATTGTTCTTTGTGTTTTGATGTTTGCTGATCAAGAACTGCGAGGTGGGTGACTGGGTAGGTCTACTTAAGAGCCTAACATGACCATGTCTGGCTGTCAAGGCTCATACGGGACACCGTAACTGTTACTGGTGTTACCTGTATGCTCATGTGTTCAAGCTTTTGTATGCTTCGGGATAAAATGCCGATAATTTGTCTGCTAGGAAAAGCCTCTTCTGTTATACATGTACATTTCCCCAATGCAGTGAACATTTTAACAATAATAAATGGCGATGTTAGCCCTACTGTTTAGGTGTATGNTCAAAAAGGCATTGATTTGGTTTGGAGACTTGGGCTATGGAAAAAAGTTCAGAAAAGTAAATTAGCTGGGAAAATGTTCAAAGTCATTTTTAATTTATATGCAAATACTAAATCCTGCGCAAGCTACGCCAAATAGAGAGTCTAGTCAAACCCAGTGCTTTCGTTTTGTGACATCATAAAGAGGCTTACCGAGATTCTGGTAAAAAATTTCATTGGTCAAAGGTTGACACACCCATTTTTCGCCCAAAATTACATTAAATATTTTAACTCATTGTAAAATTACCTGTATATGCATTTCTGAAGTATCAATGTTTTCACTATTTACAAGAAAAAGTTAACAAAATGCTTCAAAAAGAATGATTTCATGTATTTTCATTGGATATTTTATAATAATTCATGAAGCTAACAAGGCTATATATTGATACAAGTCAAGCCAGATTACCTGAGTGAGAACTTGAAGGTGTTTTGAATGGTGTACAGGTAAAATCTTACTTGCTTTGCACGCTTTTTCAAACTTTAGACAGCCTTGTTGGCTTTGTGCTTAGTTATGATTTATTCAATTGAAGTATATGGCATTATTCTGGAGATTTGACACATTTTCTTACATTGTCTCGATAAAAGTGAATACACAGGTACTTCAGGAATGCCTGTGTAGGTAACCTGTTAATGGCGTTGACATAACGTCCGGAAGCGAAAGTAGAAATACTGCCCTCTGGTGGTGATAATGTTAGTGCACTGTGTTTGACCAGACTCTTGAATTACAAGTGATCAAGCGTCTGGTTGAATGAGACTATCCACCACTGGGTCGCAGGTTCGAGGCCTACCTGGGGCAGATGCCAGGTACTGTTCGTAGGTTTGTGTTTTTTCTCAGGGAACTCCTGCTGTCCTCCAACACCAAAACCTGGCACGTCCTTCAATGACCATAGCTGTTAATGGGACGTAAAACACAAACAAACCAAACCAAGCTCAGTTGTAATAGTATAACCTTTTAGGTGTCCGACTTACAGAGAACTAAGACACTTGGTATAACATTCACTTTTAATTAAAGATGAACTGTATTGACTCCAGTCACAAGCTATCATTATCTTGTACAAATTAAAGCTTACAGTTGTAAGCCTGGCATTACAGGAGTTAACAAAGTATCACAATATTGCATAAACACTAGAATACAGGTAACATCGTACAGTAGGACTGGTTAATAGTAGTCAATGGAAGCAACACATACAGAATTGGTAGCAAACGGCACACTTTCAGTCAAAAATGTGTGACACACAAAACCACTATTAAGAAAACAATGTGGGATACACTTGGTGCATTTGGAATAGAACCAGAAATATTCACGGTCTGGCATGGGTCGATTTGTTAAAATATCATCAAAATATCTTCATCAACAAAAATACTTCAGACCATATCAACCAAACCAAGTTATTAGAAACATCTCAAAATATTTTTTGTTTTTGTTCATATGCGTACGATGAATTTTTCAAGATGAAAGCTTTTCCAAGTCTCAACATGACTTTTTAAGTAGTGGCAATGGAAGAAGGGGAAATACAAATGTCAGATCATTTCCAACTTTGACTGATTAATTCTACGTGCGTAAATAAATTCTTGCAAAAAAGGAGATCTGCCTTTATATCATAGTCATATATCATTAATTGGCTTAAATAGCTCAGAACAACTTTTGCATTTTTTTAAAGAAAGACAGTTTCTTTAGTGCATACAAATTTCTTTGCACATTTCCATAGAAGCGAAAAGGGAAAGTTTTATTCTAATGTTAAGACAAAACAGATAACAAATATCCTACGAAAAGGCCACTTGTGTTATTCTTGTCTTGAAACAAACGTAAATGTAAATGTCACCAATTTTGAGTTTCTAGTATTTCATTGTTCATGGTTACAAGGGAAGGAGGTCCATGGGCCCTGTATAGCTCACCAATTTCTTTCGTTATCCGAGCCAAAAATGTTAAAAGTTGAAATGTTTCTGCTTAATTAAAGCTGTAATGGCCATCTCAGATTTCTTATTAATGAAAGGAATTCAAAAGCAACACTTGGTTAAAGGCACCGACAGAAACATCTGAATGTTGGAATAAAATGAATACCTAGGAATTGAAAATTAATATTTTCTCACCAAATCAGAATTTAGAATAACCCCAAAATGTATAAGCACCTGTTCAGGACCATGAGTGCATTATTCAGATAAAGTAGGGATGATGCGCCACAGCATTAGCTCAGAGGGCTCCTAGAGACAGGTGAGCTAAAAAAAATATATTCATTTAAGAGATATCCAAATGTCATGTTACACATAGTTATATCATTACAATACTGCAATATTCTGACAACAAAATTGTACAATCCTCACATCACCTACAGAACGCACTACAGCAAACACCAATATGTGGACAAACACAGGCGAAATGAATGATCAGGCGATCACAAATTACACTTTACTCACAAGTGTTCATGATTGTTAGTAAACTTGTGGAGGTTAACAGAAAAGCATAACCATGGTCAAAACCTACCAATGATTTTTTTCTTGTTTTTCATCACGGTTTTAATGAGAAAATTTCCACCATGAAATATTAATGAATTTCCAAATAGAGAGGAAAAAAGAAAGAAAGAGACAGAAAGAGAGAGAGAGATCATTGCATTAACAAATAATTACAGTAAAACCTTACTAGACCAACATCAAGTTGGCCGAGACAATAGGCTGGCTTCTACTCTGTCAGCAAGTAAAGGTCCATAACTATTATAATAATTAATGTTTAATAATTTAAAAGTTACTATATGAACACAATATTCTTAATTTGTACACAATGGAAAATTTCTCATAATAGATGTATATACATATAAAAGTTTGTGTAATGATGTTTAAATAAATGGCCAGACAAGTACACAAAACAACACTCAGGATATGGGATACATAATATGGACCCAGTTACATTTTCCATGTTTACTGTATTCTTTAATGTAAATGATGTATGCTAGCTTAACGGGACACTACTGGATTCCCTCCCTTTGGGACACTACTTGCAGTTTTAGGGTGACTTGGGCTGAAAGCATCGACAGTAAATATAATGTAATTTTTTGCACTAACATCTGTTTGGTAGTGTTGTTAATGACATGAGAATTGCTCTCAGTGGTCATTAACTAAATTTACAGATTCACCTTGATTACCTCCCTCTGGTGGCAGATTACAATATATTAACTCTGAAATCCCATTCTGTTCCTAGATAATTTCTTATTATTATTGTCATTTAAGTATTATTTCTATAGTACCTTGGGTATTTGATTACTAAATGACACAATGGCCAAAAATTATTCTGTCTATATGTTATCTCTTTGAGAATAAATATATGTACTGTACAAAGTTGTCTAAAACACTTTACCCTGAACAACATCTGCTTAAGTATGAGGAGACAGCCCTTTCAACAGAATTACATGTTTTCTGGGTATATCGGAGATAAAAAACATTGCAAAACACTTACACGTGTCTGGACAGTTGCGAGACAAAAGAATACTGATACCAGCTAGTGACACTGAAGTCCTACCCAACCACACATGACGATGAGATGGGGATGTGTTGTTGTGGTGGTGGTGGTGATGGTTCTTTCTATGTTGTTCACGATTAGGATGACATTCAAAAGCAAAATATAAAGGAAAAAGATGGGGGGGAAAACCCATAATTCTGATTAACACACACACTTACCAGTGAGGAAATTGTTAACGAAAAACTTTGTACATCCAAGGTTTAACTTCCTCCCGGTTTTATTTTCGCATTTCATATTTCTGAAGAACAATGTTTTGTATTCCAAATTTCTCTGGTCAGCATTTTGTATTTCATTTCACTTCAAATTTGCATACCAAGAATCATGCTTTGTATGGACTAGACACGTCCACACACTCAAAAAATACAAAGTGTGAAGTGTTTACTGACAAATTAACCCTGTACGTTACACACACATTGACAAACACCAGCTTGTCACCTGTGTGTCGAGTTTTCACTGTATCACAAACACATATAATGTGGAATATCTACAGATGACAGCGTTGATTTCATGTTTTTTCAAATAGCGTCTATGATTGTTCTAATATCTATATACATACAAAAAAGCTACGGATATTATTGGAAGAATGCTCCAAGGTCTTATTAAATGTACAATTTAAGTAGTGTATTCCTGTTTCACGTCAAACCCACCACAAGAGCAAGGTAAACTAGGCTGTAAATATCTGAAGTTCCACACTAGATGTGTTTGTATCGTTCTAAACAGTGAATCCAAATTAAGACATTTACATCAACTTTTTCCCAAGGAAAATGATGTTCTGTTTCCGTTGCTCCTGGTTATCACACAGCAGTGACATATCTTATACTCTTGTCCAATTGTCAGGGTGACCACACCTGTGTCTGTGTATATTGTGGAGCACAGTCTTAATCTTGAAATATAATTTTCTATAATGGAAAAATTGTATATGTAACTAAAGCATGTGCTGGTCTGTACTTCCTACTGTGCCTTCTCTTTCCTCTTCAAGAACGGTACTTTGGTCTGCACTCTGAAAAATATACAACAAAGCATGGTTACCATAGTAATTTGTATATCATCCTAATTTTGTTGTACATGTGTAACATAATAATTCTGTTGTACACATATATTAACCTGAACACTGTGGTACAAATGTGAAAGATATATCAAACAGAAGAACAATGTCATTTTTATGCGACATCAGTTAGATATGTCCCTAACTTACTGTTTCATTACACCATCCACTTGGCAGCACACCATGTTGAAGTAGTTATCAATCTGGACCTGCGAGAGGAAACATAAATCACAGTCAGTCCCATTTATGCAAAAAACAACAACATTATTTTAAAACCATCAATGGCATCTTTAATTCTCATTGTAATAAAGTGAAACACAAGAAAGTGTTCTTTTGATTGTGTGACACTTGACATCTTTATGAGAACAGTATTCTACCCAATAGTTTCAAAACTGTGACCTCTAAAAGAGAAAGATAATGACATCCCAAAATGGCTTTTATATGATGTCACAAAAAAATTCAAGCCAATATGATGAGACATATGTAAATCCTTATACCATTGTATGGCCTTATGAGATTTCTCAGTCTTAAAATTTCTCTTCAGATCAGGGAAATGATCAGCTCAGATCCAACTTATCAAATGAATAAACGTTTACAGCAGGAAGTCAAAAATTAGTGGGGGAAAGACCTGTGAATTACTTCTTATCGTTGAAAAGCATATTTCTGGAGCAAAGGATTTTTCTTCAATAGCCTGAGGACCTGTATTCATCCCACTGATCTGTTACATGTTACTGAACTGATTTAAGGAATGTTCTTTAACCTTTGGCACATGGACCCGATAATGTTATATGACCTGGGCCCCTTTGGCGGGTCTAGTTCAACCAGCATGTCTGTTTGTTAACGTAACATTTTCGGGTATAAATCCTGGCAGACATGCAAATATTTATGCAGAACTGGCAAGGCTTTGTCAAGGCTCGCCTGAAAGCAGCTCAGATTGCTAGGTCCGATCTTATTTCATAAACGAACAACTCTGGTCCATTCACGACTTCGGCCAAGCAGTCTGGTCATGCAAAGTAAATTTATGAAGTTTTATAATGAATTTATGAGCTGATTACCAGTCAGACGAAGTGTTATTGGATGGACAGAATGATTAATGAACAGACTAATTTCTATATCCCCACTAACTTTGTATTGATAATGATATGTGAACATCTAACACACACAAAATTGGTTTATTTACATCTACAAGATTTTGTGTAGTAATGAAAAATAGCCGAGAACACTGACATGCAAATAGCCCTTCAAAAAGACTTATTGCCAGTTGTTGTTTCAGATGAAATCATTAGATCATAGAATGTAGGAATAGTTTAGCAATTGTCACTAGTTGGAAATGTTAAATTTATGGGTCTGAAGTCTTGAGTCTGCCTCGTAAATTAGGAGCGTTGGCAAGTATGTAACACTTCCTAGAAATACACAATGTTCCGTCCAGTACCTCTTGAGAAATCGTGATAGCAAAATTTGTTTAAGGACAGATTAAAATGACAGACCACAGAACACAACCCTCCCTACCCAAACCCCAAACTTCGTAGAAGGGAAATAATGGATTGGAGCTTACTTTTTAACAAGTGTTGTGTAAATACAGCAATAAAGACAGGAAACACAGCTCTATGATGATTTCATAAAATCATACTCACCTTGTAAGTCTCATAAAATTTAGGTAGCGTAAAGACAGACACAACAGCTGTAAAGAAATAAAATGTTAAGAGATAATTAAATCATTCTATACATAAAGCACTAGAAAACAGGCCAGCAAGGACATATGCTTAACGGTATATTTCACCAATAATCGCCAATCAGAAACCACATCGACAACTTTGGATTTTGGAATATTTGTAATAAAGCATTACACATGCATGTCATCTGGTACAAAAGCAGACCCTCTGAACAGAAGTTGTATCCCAAAATGTCCTGGCTAATTAGAAGCACTGGTGGCCATCTTGTATTATTGGATCAGCATAATGTGTTCTTATTCACCATTTAAATATCCATTAAGTACCATTTACCACTAATAATAAACAAAATCTTAACAATACAGCAAAGGTTATAGGCTAAGCCATACATTAACAGTCTACACTGACATTCACTCAATAAAATTGTTCCTTGAACTTTTTAAACCTCTACTGCACATCTACGTACAGTATAAAAGTGCATCACTATGTATCATAAATTGCAAAGAGACAATTTGCTTTAGTTAAATTGGTCCTATTAAAAAGTAAGAGAAGAAACATTTTGTTTTATTGCTGCCATAGCTTGGAGAGTTGGAGACAATGAACTTTTTACCAAGACCCCACAACAATCGGTTACAGAGCATTGTTTTTGTCATGGTCCCTCTCTGTATTTGTAAGGCAGATTTAATATCTCCATTAGATTAATAGTTTATAATTTAAGGAAATTCACATAATTGTATATAATCTTGTTTCAACAAAATTTGATTTACATAGAACAGAGACATGTGATATCTCTGAATTTGGGATGGACAGATGACAAAATGTTCCAAATAAATATTAAAGGTAATGGAACGGACAAGTATTCTCAAGTTTAATAAATGCATTGTATATTTTGACATACAATTTTAAATGGGAGAATATGTGATATGATTTGAATGGATCTTTATATTCAACTTGTCATTCTACTATGGTCAATTCTTTGATGCTTATTTATTCGTTGAGTCAGAGTTTGTTACTAATTGGAATATTACCGAGGATGATCAGTGTCATTCCATTGAACCAGGCTCCAGTGTAGGTAAGCACCCACAGCAACAGGGCAAACTGAAAATAGAAACAACAAAAAAGTAAAAAAACAGCTCAATGTTTTTGAAATTGGATTATATTTTGCTGCCTTTCCTATACTACATCCATGTAATGAGCCCTTCAACAACCTTCATGCCAAATATCAGCATCTTAGTACAAATACTGAAGGTAATTATACATTGATAAATGTCAATACTTATGCCCAAACTTTAACTGTGAAAAGCAAATGCCAACACTGACACTGTGGTGACTACACGAGTTCCCCTTTTTGTAACCTAGGGTACATTCACATATCCGGTTGAAATGGTTGAACCTGTAAAGAAAACGACAGGCACAGATCTGAACCGAGGCTGACCTCAGGAAAATTTGGCACGAGTAGATTGAGGGGTCGTGACGTACCTGATCGAAACTAAAATGCTGACTATTGCTAGTTTGCGTGTTCTTTCTAAAACAATGTCAAGCGACATGCAGTTTTTAAGATACGCTATGTAATTCAGCGGACACATGAAAAAAGGGCATAATATTCTTGATACATTGTTTTTTATTCTCGTAACTCATTTTTAGCTCTGCTTATAGAACAGTCCAAGCGCGTTCCGTTTATCGTGGAAAATTTCTGCGCCACACGTACTGTTTGAACCGGTATAAGCGAATGTAGCCAAGGTCATCAATAAGACCCAACTTGTAACAAACATCTCAAGTGTTGAATTTTACTCCACTTTAAGAATACTTTTTTATTTAACCTTGCTTGTTGACCCGAGATGTTCAAACAGATGCTACACCACAGCATGCCAAACATTTTCAAAATGAGTCGGATATATGGAAAGTCAACAGACAAATTGCACAAACTATAGCTAATTCCGTGAATATATATTTAAATAGGCATTCATCAAATTGACAATTAATTTAGCCTGACACATGCAAGCATGAATGTGCACACTAAATATGGTTGAACTTAAGTAATTTTAGGGGAGTAATGGTACAGAAACCAAGCATTACCGTTGAACAGACAAACAGACACACCTAAACTAATATCCATTTCTCTGAAAGTGGGAGACGAATATCAGCTGATTACAGCCCTTATCATAATAGTAACTAATTGGACAGAACATCTTTGCCATCTTGAAACTTAAACTTAAATCTGTCACCCAACATTAAGTATGCCCCCTATGCTACACTTGGACAAAGTATGAACAATGCAAGAGCTGAATGTGACACGCCCTCCTGTGATGATACTTTCATCAGTGGAATTTTGCCAAAAAAACTCCAGCAGACCAACCATAGTTCACTGGTAGGAAGTTCAAAAGATCAGCAGATTTGATTTTTAGGAGTTAGTTTGCAATTTGAATGCACACAGCAATTAAATTTCATTCTCAAGCCGAAATGTTTAAATAAAGATTATGATTTCCTACTTTTAACTGTACTATAACAACAGCTGAATGCAGCTCTAAAATGATGGTATATTATTATCTGAAGTGTTTACCTTGATGGAATCAATAAGGTCCTCAATGAGGAAAAGTCGGCGCAGCTCCCGAGAGGTGTTGTTGACGTGTTTTGTGATATTCTTGAGGGCCATCTGGGCCTTGTCCTCAGGCACATCAATATCCAGGTCCAGGTACACTCTGCAACATACAACACATAGGTAAAAAGTTTGTTTTTTCTTGTGATACAATACTTACCTGTACCCACATCTTTCATATAAGGTCGTTTTTGTGATATGATACTATCAGATTTTTACCAGTTATGAGCCTAGATGACCTGTACACAACTAGTGGCCTAATGGGCCTGTATTGCTCACCTGTTAATGTTGTTGGGAAATGTATACATCTAGTTAAAGTTTATCTAAAGGACTAGATGTGTCTGTAAAAGTGATAATATGAGTTCACACTTTGACCTTCGCTGTTTTTTAGTCAAGTTTTGGCCCATTAACACATTCCAAATCTCAAAATTTCAAATTGCTTACACAGTGCTTTCTGATCTTCCCTAACCAAAATTCAGCTGAGTACAGGACTAAAGTATACAAAGATTTGAGTACGGAACTAAGGTACACACCAATCTGAGTACAGGACTTAGCTATACACTGATCTGGGTATGACACATAGGTGTACACCAATCTGAGTATGACACTTAGGTAAACACCAATCCCAAGTATGACACTTAGGTATACACCAATCTGAGTATGACACTTAGGTGTATACCAATCCAAGTGACACTTGGGTATACATCTCAGTACGGGACTTAGGTATACCAATCTGAGTATAGGACGTAGGTATACACCAATCTCAAATCTGCTCGACGCACATAGCGGGTAGGGTCAAAGGTTTATTAAATAGGTGAAATTCTTATCTTTATGGGTGTGGGATTTACCAGACAGGTGAGATAATAACCTGTCTGAGGGTTTATATCTTACAGGAGAGGGTTCAGGTTTACCCGCCATGAGAAATTTACCTGAATGAATGCAGGTTAATCTCGATGGTTTTTGGTTTTAACCCCCCAGATGAGAGAAGTTCAGTCAAATGAATATCTTTGTGGGATTGACAGACAAAAATAATGTTTTACCTGTACGAGTGTGGGTTTACCTAAAACAAGAGGCCCAAGGGCCTTAGCGGTCACCTGAGTTATATCATAGGTACTGGTAGCTATATTCAGCATGTAAACTAAGTGAAATACAATACTTGTCATGTCATCAAAGGATAAGAATTTGAAAATATTGGTAAATGTTCCCTTTGGGGCCCCGCCCTAGCCCCTGGGGATGGGGCAGGAATCCCAATTTTCCAAAGTAATACTCTCATTCACCAAAGATGATTCTGACTAAGTTTGAGTAATTTTCTGCTGAAAATGGATAAAATATATACCCAAAAGTGTTATTTCCCTATATAAACTATAGTAAACTTTACCCCCTCCCCAAGGGAGAAC